TTCAGGTGCTGTAAAAACTTAAAAATAGAACTGTTGACCCTAAATTCTATATCTGACAAACTATACAAATGAACATTGTAAAAAAACAACCAGGGAATAGAAGGGATTGTAATCATTGCAATGAAGCAAAATATGATATGTTGAGTACAAAATCTATTAAACTATCACTTGATTCACAATAAAAGTTTGTATTAAATAAATAAAAGTTTAAAAAACAATATTGTACAAATAATGGAAAATGTGAAAAAAAAAAAAAAAAAGTGTGGGAGCAACATCTAACCACCTCTTACTTCACCAGGGGAGAGAATCAAACTCAGTATCAACCCAAGAATGATTATGTGAGATTGAGGTCAGACATGCCTCTACACTCCAACCTTTCCTACCAATTCTTATACCAACTGCTCCTCCTATAGCACCCTCTACTTCTCAGCTGGGTTCTTTAATTCATTGGAATCACCACACAGTTGTTGTTGGTAGGTGCTATCTAGTTGGTACCGACTCATAGCGACCCTATATACAATAGAATGAAACACTGCCCGGTCCTGCACCAACCTCAAAATCAATGATATGTTTCAGCCCATTGCTGCTGCTACTGTACCAGCCATCTCGTTGGGGGTCTTCCTCATTTCTTCGGACCCTCCATTTTACCAAACATGATATCCTTCTCCAGAGGCTGGTCCCTCCTGATAACATGTCCAAAGTATGTATGAGAGAAAAAGTCTGGCCAGCTTGATTTCAAAGGAGTATTCTGTCCTGACCTTGCATATGAGCAATTGATGGTCCATTCCATAGTCTGCCCCTGGCCTTGTTTTGGCTAATAATAATTGAGCTTTTCCACCGTCTCTTTCCACAGATGTAGTCAGTATGATTTTTATGTATTCCATCTAGTGAGGTTCATGTGGGTAGTTATCTTTTATATTGTTTAACAAAGGTACTTGCAATGAAGAAGTCATTGGTCTTGCAAAATTCTATCATGCGATCTCCAGCACTGTTCCTTTCACCAAGGGCATATTTATTTTCCAACTACTGATCCTTCCTCTTTGTTTCTAACCTTTGCATTCCAACTACCAGTAATTAACAATACATCTTGATCACATGTTGGATCAATTTCAGACTCAAGAAGTTGGTAGAATTCATCATCACTGGCTTGAGTGGTTGGTGCATAAATTTGAGTAATAGTGGTATTAATTGGTCTTCCTTGTAGGTGTATGGATATTATCCTATCACAGTGTTATACTTCAAGGTGGATCTTGATATGTTCTTTTTGATGATGAGTGTGATGCCATTCCTCCTCATTTTGTCATTTCTGGCTTAGTAAACCATGTGTTTGTCAGATTCAAGATGGCCAATATTAGTCCATTTCAGCTCACTAATGCCTGGGATATTGATGTTTATGCATTCCATTTCATTTTTTACCATTTTCAATTTCCCTAGATTCACACTTCATACATTCCATGTTCCAATTATTAATAGATGTTTACAGCTGTTTCTCTTCATTTTGAATTGTGTCCCATCAGCAAATGACGGTCCCAAAGGCTTTACTCCATTCACGGTCCACTCTACTTTGAGGAGGCAGCTCTTCCTCATTTTATTTTTTTTTGTGCCTTCCAACCCGAGGGGCTCATCTTCCAGCACTATATATCTAACAGTATCCTGGTGCTCTTCATCATGTTTCAATAGTCAACATTCTGACAGTGTTCCACTGCTAATTATAACATTTTCAGTGGCTAAATATTCAGAAGTATTCCCTCTCTCCTTCTTCTTAGTCTGTCTTCATCTGGAAGCTTAGCTGAAACCTGTCTACCATAGGTGACCCTCCTAGTATTTAGAATACCCATGGCATAACTTCCAGAATCACAGCAACACAGAAGAGTGGTGACAGACTGACCACACAGTACTCACAGATGATACAATTATGAGGTTTATTAGAGAAGTCAACAGGTTACAACTCAGGATCAAAAAATAACTAAGACACAGTTCTTTGTTCAGGATAGCCTGTCCTCAGGTGTATCCACGGGCAGGTTTCTCCGCCCCTCAGTCAAGAAGCACTTTGGCCAATGTCGCACTTGGGCAATGTTACAAAGCTCTCTTAGCACTGGTGATACCTTAGACTAAGGCTGACTGGAAGGACTAGGCATTCCATCATAAGCCTCAGCCCAAAGGGCCTCTAGATCCCCAGATTAAGTACCTGGAGGCACCCCACTCCACAAGCAAGCCTCCTGCCCAAAACTTGTATTTGCTCTATGAACTGGGAAGCTTACCACTACGTTTTGTGTTCTTGGTTCTGTTGCTACTGTTCTTCTGCAACTTCTCTGTACCAAGTTCTTTGGTACCATGGTTTTCTGTCCTGGGATTGAGCAGGGATCGAAAGATCCAAAAGACATGCTTCACTCCTGGCTCATCTCACTTGAGATTCCCCCTCCTGCTTGTGAGGTGGTGACACATTTTATACGTAGCAGGATGGCAAAACCAACCAATCTCCTTGTTAGATTTCCAAGTTTTTACAGTCACAGTCCTGTTAATGCTTCACAATGAAGAAAAACTAAGCGAATATAAGCATATCACTAGCTATCCTACTAAAGGAACAACTGAAGGGAGTTCTTGAAACAAAAAAAGATAAAAGAAGGAATCTTGGAAGATCAGAAAGCAAGGAAGAACAATGGAATAAGTAAAAATATAAATAAACAATATTGGCTTTCCTTCTCCTGAATTTTCTAAATAATGCTTGACAGTTAAAGTAAAAATTACAACATGGTTAATGCTGTCGCAATAAAAAATATAATTATTAAACATGAGAGAGGATTAAAGGACTTTAAGAATCCCAGCGTGGTGCAAATAGCTCCTAGCAGAAACGTTTGAACTGAAGGCACTGAGTGGTACCCAGGAGGCAAAGGCTTGATGATGATCTCTTTGGAAGGATCGCATCCTTAAAAGTCCTGTGGAGCAGTTCTACTCAGCACACATGGGGTTACCATGAGTCAGAAATTGACTGAACAATAACTATCAACAAAAAAAAGGGTTTTACCAGAGGTAGTTTCAGTTCCACCACTTAACCTGTCAATTTGTCATACTGTGGTGGCTTATGTGTTGCTAGATTTCAAGTGCCACCAGTAATTCAAGTGCCAGGACAGTCACCCATGGTTTCAACAGATCTTCCAGACTAAGACAGTCTGGGAAGAAGTACCTGGCAATCTGCTTTTGAAAAACACTGGCAGGTGAAAGAAAACCTTATGAATAGCAGTGGAACATTGCTGAACGATAGCCCCTCAGCAATGGGCTTAAGCATAGCAATAATTGTGAGGATGGCAGAGCACCAGCTTGTGTTTGGTTCTGTTGACTTAGGGTCACCGCCATATAACAATATAATTTCTATTTGGTGGCTGGAAGGGAAAGAGGGCTGGGACCATAACTACTGTGAAACAGGAAAAACAGTCAAAGGAGATCATGTTGTGCGCTGTTGAGTCGGTTCCGATTCATAGCGACCCTGTATAGAATTACTGAGGAGCTCTTGGTGGGTTTGAACTGCCGACCTTAAGGTCCAGCGCTTTGTCCTAAGGCGCCACATATGCCAACAATATAGATGATGGCGCCCAGGCCGAGACAAGGTTGGAAGGATTGGCCTTTGGCACTGAAAAGGGAAGAAGGATCTTTATCTAAATTATGAAAGAAGGCCAGGGACGTTGAAGTTTCGGCTGAGGATAACTCGCTTCTCAGTCAAATAAGTATTCTCTGAAAGAGGGTTGTCTTTGAGGATGACGATGAAGTTTTGTGGCAAGGAGAGCACATGAAAGAGTCCTGGAAGTATCCGTTGCTAAAGTTGAAGGAGGATTTCTGCTCCCGCGAAGATTTAAAGCCTCAGAAACCCTATACGGGTCTCTATGAGTCGGACCTGGAATCACTCGAAGGCATCTTGTTGTTGTTAAGTGCTGTCGAGTCGGTTCCAACTCATAGGGTTTCCGAAGAGCAGCTGGTGTGCTCGAACCACCGACCTTGCAGTTCAAACGTCTTTGCAGTCTGGCACATTAACTCACAGCGCCACATCAGGACTCGAAGGCACCTTATGTTGTTGTTAGATTCCATCGAGTCGGTACCGACCCATAGCGACCTTATGCACAGCAGAACGAAACACTGCCGGATCCTGGGTCAACCTCACTACTGTTGCCACGCTTGAGTCCATCGATGCTGCCACTTGGTCAATCCATCTCATTGGGGGTCTTCCTCTTTTTCTCTGACCCTCCACCTTACCAAATATGATATCCTTCTTCAGTGATGGGTCCCTCCTGACAATATGTACAAAGTATGAGAGACGAAGTTTGGCCATCTTGGTCTCCAAGGCGCACTCTGGCTGCACTTCTTCCAAAACGGATCTATTGGTTCTTTTGGCAGCCCATGGCACTTTCAATATTCTCCTCCAACACTGTGACTCAAAGGCATCAGTTCTTCTATGGTCTTCCTTATTCACTGTCCAGCTTTCACATGCATATGAGTTTATTGAAAATACCATGGCTTGGGTCAGGTTCACCTTAGTCCTCAAGTTGACATCTTTGCTCTTCAACACTTTAAAAAGGTCTTGTGCAGCAGATTTGCCTAACGCAATACGTACTTTGATTTCTTGACTGCTGCTTCCTTGAATGTTGATAGTTGATCCAAGAAGAATGAACTCCTTGACAACTTCAATCTTTTCTCCGTTGATAAGAATGTTGTTTATTGGTCCAGTGGTGAGAATTTTTGTTTTCTTTACATTGTGATGTAAGCCATACTGAAGGCTGTGCTCTTTGATCTTTATCAGTAAATGTTTTAAATCCTCTTCACTTTCAGCAAGCAAGGTTGTATCATCTACATATCGCAGGCACCTTTACAACTCGTCAAAAGCTGTAAGATAACGAATTGACCACTAGGTGACAATGTCTGCGGAGGCTCACATGTCCCATCGGCCCTTGCGTTCAGGGCAGAAGAAGGCGTGGAGGTGGCTCTCTGGCTCGCATCGCCTCTACTCTACTATTCCAACTGACGTTGGACAACAAAAATGGCGGCAGGAACCAGCAATTACTGGGAAGGTGAGAGTGAGGCTGCCGTGTGGTTCCGCAGGGGAGCAGAGGGCTGAATGAGGACGGGTCTTGGGGGAAGCGGCAGAGACGATAGTAGGTCCTCCGAAGCGGCCGAGTTGAGGGGCGGACTTGTCTGGTAGGAACCCGGGGGCCTGGGAGCTGCGGACTGAACGTTCTGGGCCTGGGGGCTGGCTGGCTTCAGAGGCTCCTGCCCCGGCTAGGTGATCGGGACCCGAGGTAGGGTTTGAGCAGGGAAGGAGGAGAGAGGACCAAAAGGAAAAGAGCCCTGAGTCTCTGAAAGAGAATTCGGAGGTAAGGGTATGGGGTGTGCACGGTAAGAGAAAACGGCTACAAGCCGGTGAAATTTGTGCCTTGGTGATAAGGTTATTAGTGGGAAAAAAAAAAACTGATTAGGAAAAGAGAAAAGAGTTAGGAAGGGAAATTTGTTAGTCTAGTCCATCGGGGGAAGTTGTATGAGTGGAATGTCTCTTATTTGGTCCCCTTGGCTGCATCAGGCTAGCACTTCGAGGATTGGATGGATGTCAGTCATGTTTAAAGGCAGAGGAAGTAACTTTATCGGCTGCCCAGGATCCTAGGATCGGATTTGTTTAAAAAGGGAAAGTTGAGAGAACCAGTGTGGTTTGACAAGTGCGTGTAGTGGGCTCATGTCAAACTCCTTCGTGTGCAATGATGATCACCAAAGACCAGAATAGCCTCACCTTTTCTTTTCAGTTGTCTCTTTGCTGTACTGCAACATTAAAACTACTCTCTGAATCACTTTCCCATTTTTGACTTATTTCCTGTTATTCTCCAGTGAAGCCTCTGGAAACCCCGAAAGTATGTGTATGCAAGAACGAAACTGTGCTTAAAAAAAAAAACACAACCCAGTCATCTGGTCTATAGAAGTTTAATTCTAAGTCCTTCCATACTTGTCATACTTTCAAAATGCTTTTGATTCGAAAAGACAATTACAAAAGTTACTGAGAATCATGCTTATCATTAGTTTAAAACATGCATTAAAATGCCCTTTGAAATGATTATTAGCTAGGAAACGTTTTGAAATCAGTCATTTTAAATTCCATAGATGTGGTTACTGCTATCTTTAGTACTAGTCATTAGGATGTGGATTGTCAAAGCACTGTTCATTATTGACAACCAACCGTGTGCCATTTACTTTAAGCACATGATTACTAATACATAGAAAAACTCTGAATTTAAGGATTTAAAAGACAAAAAGCTGAGTGTCATAGGTTAAATAGATTGCCAATAATCTCAACTAGTGAATGGCTGAGCTGGGATTTGGTTTGTGGGCAGGTAAGCTCCACTTTATTATTTTGCTTTCTGCTTCTGATAGTAAGTATATTGAAATGCTGTTTGTATCCCTTTTAACCTGAAAGATAACATCATTACACTATTCCTTCCTATGTTGTTAAGTGCTGTGGATTCGGTTCTTACTGAGTGACACCCTATATAAAGTTTCCAAGGAACAGCTGGTGGGTTTGAACTGCCGACCTTGCCATTAGCTGTCCATTGCTTATCCTACAATGCCATGCCAGGACTCCTCCCTTTCTAGTTTTATTTTAACATTTCACCATGAATGAGAGTAATTGCTTTACATGTGGGTTTCTAGACTGTCTTCTCTCACTCAGCAACTTTAGAAGTAAGTTTACCATGCCAGTTTCTCTGTTTGCTTGTTAGTTTCACTTAAAAAACTTACAGTTACTATTGCCATTATATTTGATTTCATTGGTAGCACATTTTTTATTGTTTCTTTCAGTTTCTCCTGGTGGTGGTGGTGGTGGTGTGCCCTTGAATCAGTTCTGACTCATAGTGACCGTGTATAGAGTTTCAGTGGCTGTAAATCTTTATGGAAGCAGAAAGCTTTATCTTGAACTGCAGAGCAGCTTATGGACTCGAACTGCTGACCTTTTGTTAGCAGCTCAACACATAACACACTACACCACCAGGGTTCCTTACATTTCTTCTAGTAAGCACAGTGAAAAACACTTTCTTATCTTTGCCAATGATCATTTATTTTTTCCTTACATTCCATCAATAAGTCATTCTACTATGGAGAAAACAAATTCATTAGCCTAATAAAACTTTGGACTGTAAATAGCAAAATGCGTGTTATAACAGTAATGTTTTCTTTTTTATAAATTTAGCTGGTAAATTGATATAATGCTAGCCAGGCTATAAGCCATATTCAGTTCCTTGGTGATATGTACTTCCTTATTGTTTCCTGTGAATTACAGAATCACAATTATTACTGTAGAAATAATTTTAGGACTGTTAGAACAACTTATTGCTGTTTTAGCTGTTTTTAAAGGAATAAAGCTGAAATTTTATATCTTCGCTGCTACTCTTCACCCACCTCTACAAGCCCCCATCTGAGGCTTAAATAAATGACTAATGTGCTTTCCTGGGTGTTTGGGTTCTATTAACACTTTTCTTTATGAGTGAATTAGACCAATAATTGATCATTTCTATAGTTTGCTTTCTTCAGAATAGTTTTGTGAGATACATATCAACTGATGGCCTTTTTTGTGTCTAATTATTTGCTTTTATACTTTTGTTAAAGATCTCAGGAAACAGGCTCGACAGTTGGAAAATGAACTTGACCTGAAACTAGTTTCCTTTAGTAAATTGTGTACAAGTTACAGCCACAGCAGTACCCGAGATGGAAGACGCGACAGGTATAGGTACTACCAGATTCTCTCTTATGCCTTAAAGTATATAATGTTTTTTAAAAGCATTAATATAAAAGAAATAAGGTAGAATATATAGTCTCTATAACTTGGTGTTATAAGGAGCTCTGGTAGCGTAGTGGTTACGAATCGGGCTGCGAACCTTAAGGTCAGCAGTTCGAAACTACCAGCTGCTCTGCAGGAGAAAGATGAGGCTTTCTACTCCCGTAAAGATTTACACCCTCGGAAACCCTATACAGGGTCGCTATGGGTCGGAACCAACTCGATGGCACATAACAACATAACAACAACATAATTTGGTGTATTTGGGTATTTTTCTTTTTTAATCATGGATTTTTTTTTTAGTAACTTATTAAAATTCTGGGGCTCCTATGAGTTGGAACCAACTCCAGGGCACTTAGCAGCATTTAATTCTTTAGTAGCATATATACTACTACTGGTATTTAATAGGAATATAAGACAGTATGTATTATTTTTTATCATCAAAACTATTTTTAATTTTGGTTCTTTTTGAACTATCTTCAATGTATGGGAAATGTATTCTTATTTTTTAATTTTATGCTTTCGATGGACTTCTGGTGTGGCGCTGTAGGATCAGCACTGGACTGCGAATCACAAGATGGCAGTTTAAATCCACCAGCTGCTCCTTGGAAAACCTATACAGGGTTGTTATGAATTGGAACCAACTCAGCGTACTTAACAACAGCAACAGCATGCTCACTATAGGCTATCCATTTATTTTTTAACAATTAGGTAATGTTTAGGACTCCTAAGAAACTATCAAGAATAATATAGTAAACCTCATGTAGCTTTTCCCCGTTTAAAAACAAAATCATTACCAGTTCATCTGAAGGTCCTGTGGCATCTTCCTTCTTCCCTCCTCATGTTGTTGTTGTTGTTAAGTGCCGTCGATGTTTGTATTCCTAAACAACTCTTAATTTCCTACTATTTTGCAACTTGCTTTTTGGCTCAACATTTTCTTTGAGATTCCCCTATGGTTAGGTTCAACTGTGTTATAGTCATTTGATGCATATACTAATATATGATTATACCACAATTTATCTATTTTGTAATTGGACATTGTTTGAACATCTAATTTTTTGCTACTGAATGGTAGTAACAATTTCAATAGCGGACACAGAGCTTTAAACAAATGATGTTGGGAATATGTTTCTATATGCCTTGGAGTAGATTTGCTGGTAGAAAGTTTTTAATTATCCACTCATTGTTTTAGATACTTTTTTAAGGATTGATGGCTGGTGGAATATCTTTCAGCTAGTGATAATAAAAAACAACAGCTGAACTTGGATTTGAACTTGTGTCTTTTTACCTCTAAACCCATACTCCAAATTCTTTGTGCATTCTAGCAAAAGGCTACTTTGACTTGTGATTTCTAACTGCCAGCCTTTCAGCTAACAACAACCCAATGTTCAATCCACGATGCCACCAGGGATCCTTTTGATTCTAGTGCTCAATAACAGTATATAATTGTTATAAAGCTAACAGGGCCAACATATGTTTCAAGCCCTCATGTGGCTTGAAAGTAAGTTATTGTCCTATCAGTAGATTGGATTATAGCACATTGCTTTGATCTTGTCTTTATTTAGCAAGTTAAGAGAATGAAGTTTTTTTTAAATTTCTATCAGTAAGCCTGTTTTATGATTGGAAATAATCTTTCCTGAATATAAGTTTCCCACTTAGCTACTGCTAGTGAATATACAAATTTAAAACTCTTATTTCTTAAGAGAGATTGTTACACGATGGCTTTTCTATGTTCTCTGTGCTTTATGAACTTAATACTTTTGTGAGTCTTTTAAAGGAAAATATGTCTTGAAAATATTCTTTAAAAAATTCTAAAATAAATTGGGACTTAGTTTGTTACTTCAGCCTAGCTGTTTCTTAAAAAACTTAAGGAGTAGTAAGATCCAGTATACGTGTTAAAATGTTTATTACCCAGGTTGGAAGTACATCATAATGAATAAATAAGTCAGTAATGGTGAAAATTTTTCTACCTTTTTAAATTTTTTTATTTCTGTGTTTCAAGAAGGTCAATGTCTAGGAATCATCACATATCTATAAAATGAATTAAATTGAACTGAATTGTAGTACTGGGGATAATTGAGTTTGGGGCCACTTCTCGGGTCTTGTGTATTGACCTGCAGATGTCTAGTGAATGGACTAACTAGCGATAGAGGTGGTGACATCATTCATTTACTTAGGGATTGTTTAATGCACACTTGCCATGTGTACTGTTTTAGGTGCTAAAAATATATCTGAAGTAAGACAGGGCATATCTTATATTTTGTTAGCCCATTGTTATTTTTCATGTGTCTGGTTGGGGAAAGTTTATTGTTGTAGTAGTAGTGGATAGAACATTTTTACCTGGCCATCCTAGGAGATAACCACAGAACCTTGGCTTGGTTCTGACAAATTCTAAAGAAGTAAATATTTGTATCCACCAATCATCTGTCAATTTGTTGTACTCTGGTGGCTTGTGTGTTGTTGTGGTTTTGGAAGTGATACCATGGTATTTTAGATACCAACAGTTGGACAGGTTTCAGCGGAGCTTCCAGACTAAGACAGACTTGAAAGAAAGAGAGATGGACTACTTCTGAATAATTAGCCACAGAAAACCTTTTGAATAGCAGTGGAACATTGCCAGATATAGTGCTGGAAGATGAAAACATTATGAATAGCAACGGAACATTGTCAGATATAGTACCGAAGTTGAGCCTCTTAGATTATTATAAGATACTCAAAATATGAATGAGGATGAGTTGCCTCCTTAAAGTAGAGTTGGCCATAATGATGTAAATGGAGCAAAGCTTTCAGGACCTTTATTGCTAATGGGGTGGGGGGGGCCACAACTCAAATTAAGAAGAAACAGTCGCAAATATCCATTAATAATCAGAATGTGGAATGTACATATATGAATCTAGGAATATGAATTGGAAATTGTCAAAAATGAAATGGACCACATAAAATGTAGATATTCTAGGCATTAGTGAGCTGAACTGGACTGGTACTGGCCATTTTGAAGCAGACAGTCATATGGTTTACTATGCCAGGAATGGCAAATTAAAGAGGCATGGTGTCACATTCATCACCAAAAAGAACATTTCAATATCGATCTTGAAGTACAGTGCTGTCTGTGATAGGGTAATATTCATATTCCTAGCATAAAATCCTACAAGGAAGACCAATTAATGCCACTATTCAAATTTACTCATCAAATACTAAAGCCAGTGATGATGAGACAGAAGAATTCTACCAACTTCTTTAGTTTGAAATTGATCAAACATGCAATCAAAATGTTTTGGTAATTACTGATGATTGCAATGTGAGTGTTGGAAACAAAGAATAAGGATCAGTAATTGGAAAATATGGCTTTGGTGACAGAAATGATGCTGAGATGGCATGATACGAGGGTGGGTTAAAAATTATCCGCACTCTGGATTTAGAATTTATTTTAATCACCTTTTAGAAAAGACAGATACATCATTTTCAACATAATCACCTTGCTTTTCAATATACTTTGTCCCTCTGGCAACAAGCTTTCGTATTCCCTTATTAAAAAATGTTTTAGGTTGAGCTGTGAGCCACAAATGCACCGCTGTCTTCACGTCTTCATCAGAGGAGAATCTCCGTCCTCGAAATGCTGCTTTCAGGATACCAAACAGGTGAAAGTCCGATGCAGCAAGATTGGGACTATCGGGAGGATGCTCTAACACCTCAAAACAAAGTTTTTGCAGAGTGTCAACAGTGTGGCAGAAGTGTGTGGACTGTCATGCAAGATCACTACACCCTTGGATAGCAGGTCCCTGTGTTTAATGGGAAGTTTAGGCATCAGCTTTTCTATGAACATCTCTTTAAAGAAACTTCTACTTTTCTTCATGTATCAGTCCAAATTTTGTTTGCAGATGTCCAAACTCTTCTGTGAGTTGTTTCAGTACCCATCTCGTACAAACTTTTTGAAACCCGAGTCTGTTGTGGATTATTTCATAGGTAGGCTGATTTGCAAATGATTTGCCACATAATCCACTGTCACTCGTCTATGCTACAGAATCATTTCACATACATGCTCGATGTTTTATCAACAATGGACATGGATGGACATTTTAATATAACTAGAGTACGGATAATTTTATACTCATCGTCAGAGTTTTGCAAGACCATTGCCTTATTCATTTCAAATGCCTTTTTAAACAACATAAGAGGTGACTGTACACCTGGACACCACTAAATGGAATACACAGGAACCAAGTTGACTACATCTGTGGGAAGAGATGATAGACAAGCTTAATATCATCTGCCAAAACCAGACCAATTGCTCATATGCAAGTTCAGGCTGAAGCTAAAAAATATTAAACCAAGACTACCAGAGCCAAAATATAGCCTTGAATATAGCCCACCTAAATTTATAGCAGATTTGATACATTAGACACTAATGACCAAAGATAAGAAGAGTTGTGGGATAACATCAAGAACATCCTACAGAAAGAAAACAAAAGGTTATTAAAAAGACAAATGGAAAGAAAAGACCAAAGTGGATGTTAGAAGAGATTCTGAAACTTGCTCTTAGGTATAAAAAGCTTAAATGACTAGAAGAAATGAAGAAGAGCTGAACAGAAAAATTTAAAGGACAGCTGGAGAAGACCAAGTCAATATTAGAATTAGGAAATGAAAAGAGAAGAACACACTCAGCATTTCTCAAGCTGAAAGAACTGAACAAAAATTCAAACCTCAACTTGGAATATTGAATGATTCAAGGTCAGAAGTTTGAATCCACCAGCCGCTCTGCATGAGAAAGGGGATGGTTTCTGCTTTCATAAAAATTTGCAGCTTCAGAAACCCTATATGGGGTCTCTATAAGTCTAAACCAACTCGATTGCACACAACGTAGTGGTTACAAATAGGGCTGCGAACTGTAAGGTCAGCAGTTCGAAACTATCAGCTGTTCCGTGGGAGAAAGGTGAGGCTTTCTGCTCCTATGA